AAAACCAAACTTGGAGAGATACAGGCAAGCTTGAATCAATCTGCAGCTACTAGAAAACAGAGGAGAAAGGAGGTGACAACTCTGCTCCAATTAAGTTTGGATGCCTAAAGTTAATGATACAGATGTTGCAAAGTATGAAGGCGACTATGAACGAAATCAGAGCCATTGTGGATCAGCAGGCTGCGGCACGGTTACAGCAACAGCAGCAGAAACAACAAGAACTGCAGACTAGAATGAATCAGATTAAGAGCGATATAATGGTAATTTCTATGAATTATCAGTAAGGAAAAGTCTAAATTCTGTTTTTTTTCAAGGCTCGAAAGGATGATCTAGACGTTCTTGAACAAGAATTGCGAGACAAATATGCACAGTACCAACAGAAGCAGCTTGAGCTGAAGCAGTACGTTACGGTACGGGTTAGCTGTGGTTTTGAAAAAAAAATTAAAAATTTTTCCTCTCAGAATGCGCTGTTGGAGAGCGTCAAAGCGTCTGTGGTGATGGATCTAGGAAATAAGATACAAGACACTCTTGATAGGGTAAGTAAAAGTTTTTTGCAAATTTCGCTATCCTATTTTTGAACATCTGAAATTTGCCTAACTTTTTTTCTTCAGAAGGCCTTGCAGCAAGTTTTATCAGAAAATCGGACACTCTTGAATGGAACAATGGCAGCTCCAAAGGCAACCGTTTTAGATGAGTAAGTAACCTAATCATATGGTCAAAGTAACTTAAGGTCGAACGTCACACATTATGACAAGTTTTTCACATACCAGGGTGTAAATGTCTCCACACTTCATTTTCGTTGATTGCAAACAGACAGAAGAATAGCCAAAAAGTCAGAATTGTTCTTTGTTCTAACACGTTTGAGCAACGAACATTCAATGATTGTCGTGGTTTCTATTGTTTGCAAGTTTTTGTCAAATGTGTAATTTACAGAATAACAGGCGTGTCTGCATGGCAGACCGTAACGTGGATATTATTGGCCCTTTGTATTCTTCTTGCCTTAGCTGTTATTGGGATGGTTATCTACCAGGTGATTTATTACACACAGAATTTTCTTTACTAAGTTTTA